ACATCAAATAAAGATGAGTCTTGAACGAGCTCCATCTTCTCAAAAACCTGGCTCCGGTACTTGTCTATTGGCGACCTGAGAATACAATTTATTTTGAAAGAGTTTATCAGCTTTAAAGCTGGTGAGATCATAAGTATATTAGTGTCTGTAGTTGTATGAAAGTGTTTTGTAAGTCTGTATTGTATATGTTTGTAAAAGTTTGTATTTGTTTGAACTCTCTCCCTAGAAACCCTATGTTTCCTACTAAAAGTAGCCTTCTACCAAGGCATCGAGTGTCTGTGTGTGTGTTTCTTGTAAGTGTATGTATTTTCCCAAGTCTGACTATCATTATCCAAAAATATAGTTTCTATATTATTGTTTATTGTGTGAATATCACAAAGTAAATGTAATGGGAAAATGATATAGTACTGTAGTGTTGTATTAAGTAACTACTGTTGTACTAATTACTTTAAACCTATTGTTATTTAAAGTACCATGTGATCGGCCTGTATCCTGCTACCGACTCAATAGAAAAACGACAATGTATGATGTCGTAAGAAATGACGTTTGGCACTCGTAGACTTGCAAGTCCCACTGTAGCGAGCAGCAAGGTGTAGGATAGTCAATCCAGTATAGATCTTATACACAAACTCATACGCTCCCCAATTAAGGAGATTTTGGATACAAAAACAGTCATGGCAGGTAGTGTCATGCCTTGCTTAATGGCTCACATAAATGTAATAATGGATATGTAATGAATGTGCTAGCTGTATTGTATCTTCTCCTTCTGTCTAGCCTGTATGTTCTCTCTGTATGGTATTGTTTGTTATTTCTTTCTCTGTATGGTATTGTTTGTTATCTCTTTCTCTGTATGGTATTGTTTGTTATCTACTCTCTATGGTATTGACTCATGTATGAACTGACTCTTTGTATGTTTCATTGCTCTAGTAATAGTATCTTCCTAAACTATACCTATTATAGTTTACTAGTAATGTTGTTTGTGTATATGAACATGTTTGTATACCCTTGCTACCCAAATGCATTGAACTGAATGAAAGAAGTAACCTTTTATATCTATATATGTATACATGATATATAACTAATATTTAGACGACATTCGGACGAATAACCGATACCCTAAGGCCACATCCAAACAAGGAAAAGGGAATAAGGTGAGCTAGCCTTCCTAAGTCCTTTAAACAATACTTATATAACTATACATATATAGGTATGCATTTGTCAATATAACAGAATATAAGTTTAAAAGAGTTTACTAAAAGTATTTGATAAGAAAAGAGTTTGTAAAACAGTTTGAAGTAAAACAGTTTGGTAACCCAGTTTGAAAAGTAAGAATCCACTTGTTTAGTAGTTATTAATCACATGTAATTGATATAATAACTATAATTGTGCAACTTGTATCCCCCCCCCCCCCATAAAAGCATTTAAAAGGTTAATTAAGGGGTATGAACTCACCTGTACTGAGTGGTTTGGATGAACTGAAGAAATAGGATTGCTAGGTGTCAAGTGAAGACTTGTACACACACAATGATCCTAGTTAACATATAATAACACATATATGTATCCAATTAGTCTTTAAACAACTAATTAACAAAGTTAAGACATCCTAGGACATGTAAAACACTTTATATAAGTGTTATAAGTGCTAAGGATTGCATCTAAGTGTTGTAGGACATTGCTATTGAGTTTAGGGTTCAAGGGAACCCTTTACATGAGTTTACGGTTTTATGACCATAACTCATTGAGTTTATGGTCGTAAACCCATGAGTTTACGGCCGTAAACTCATGTCCTTTTGACTATTTGGTGTTTTGAAGGTTTATAAGTCCCTAAAAGCATTTCTACTTGATGGTTAAGCCTTTGGAAGAGGTTAGGGCACCATTTCACTCCTTTGAGGAGTTTACGGTCCCTAGACCATTTGTCCTTGGGTTTACGACCGTAAACCCTTATGGATTATGGTATTTTGATGTTTTCAAGTCCTAAACATATTAAGGAATGAGTCTAGACTAGTTTCCAAAACTAAGGAAGGGACTAGGGCCACTTTGGCCCCTTAATTAGGGTTTACGGTCCAAGGTGTTCTTAGACCGTAAACACCTTTGATCTTGGGTTTCAATGGTGTTTTCTTGTTGTAAAGAAGTGTATCAAGCCTTAACATACTCTAGGATAGAAGTACTTACAAGATAAAGGCTTGAAATGATCCAAAAGTCCAAGAACACTAGTGTGTGTTCTTGGTGTTCTTGGTGAAACTTGAAGATTGAACCTTTTGGAATGATTTCATGGATAGAAGTGTGTTAAAACACTAGATTAAGTAATATAACCACTTAATAGGACTAGAAACACTTACTAGATGAAGATCTTGAAGAAATCTTTGGATGATACTTGAGAGAGTTTGAGATTTGTTCTTGAAAGGTGGAAAAATGGTAAATATACGACTAAGTGTCACTTATATACCCCCTTCCTTAGGGTTTACGGCCGTAAACTCTAAACTTTTGATGTGTCGGGACTTTATCGTTGCACAATAAACCCTAGGGCATCCTCTCTCCTGATATCTCCTAAAGTGTTAATCCTAAAATACTCAAACTTATTCCAAAAAGTCTGAAAAATTAGCATTAACTGTTTTGACTTCTGATGAATTGAAATATTATACAGATTAGAAATTTCGGGTTGTCACACAAGCCGGGACAAATCAACACAGTCGAGCTATATTTCCTCTATTGCATGACTAGCAACCGTTGGTCATGCCTCGGTTTCGCAACCTTTTTCTTGGATAAATGTGACAGCATACGCACGAAGACCACTTGCGACATTTGCATTGGAGGTCTCATTACCCTCATTGGTTTGGGTGTGGGTCTTCAATTTCCAGAGTCCGAGTATGTACCAGTGGATGACCCACCTCTCCATCTCCTCGACTACTTCGCTCTCACCCGGATGTAATTATTGGTACCTATCAACAATCTTCAGTACTATTGGCTCAAATCATGCGAAGGAATCAGTTTACACCTTACCTAATATAAGCGTATCCGCCTTTACCACCAGCGACCCTGAAACATGGTTCTTGCCCGAAGAGTTACATGATGATGATGATGATGCAGGAGCTGATGATGACATGCAGGTAGACACTGGCCATGCTGGTAGCCCATTTGAGGCCGAAGACCATTATGACCTCTCAATCCAACAATTGCTGCCACCCTATTATGCTCAGCCTTCGGGAGCACACTTCGAGCCACAACATGAGTACCCGTCCTATCAACAACACAACGAGCCCGAGCCCGAACCCGAGTATCCTCTTGATATATACGCTCAGCTTGCGGCCTTGCGCCTCGAGGGCAACCGGAACACAACAGTCATTCGGCGCATCGAGGAGCAGCAAGCTCGCACCAACAACTACTTGGAGGATCTTTGGTATCATTTTCAGCCCGACAGCAGTTACCGTCCTCACGAGCCTCCTCCACATTGATTGCGGTATGATTCTTCCTTACTCTCATTCTAAGCATTGAGGACAATGCTTAATTTTAAGCTTGGGGTGAGGTATTCTTATATTTTAATTTTTATAGCATTTAGGTTGTATATAGTTGCATTTAGAGTAAGGCATTTAGGTCATTCATAAAAATTGCATAAAAAATAAATAAATAAATAAATATTGCATATTTTATTTCCTTCTTTTCTAATCTTCATACTTTTTAGATGCATCCTAGTTTAAGTTCATGTATTTTTGTTCTCTCTTGTCTTCTCATTCCTACAGGTACCATAGCGCCGAGTCATAGGTATTGAATCATAGACTGATCCCGGGTCTTGATATGGAATTCCTTGTATTTGATAAATGGGACACGTTTTGAGCCTTACAGACCACTTTGATACCGCTTGTGTCGGGGTCAGATGCAGGTAGCTTGATTGGGTCTAGGTGCGGAGGGATGTGGTTGGTCAAACCGATGTGTGCGAGCAAAAATTAACCCGGTATGGTATTTTGAAGATATTGAAGACTCGCATCTTGGTTTTGGGGGGAATACCCCTTAGTACTCGCGAGTCTCGTCCGAGCCTTACTTAGTTAGATTCTCACCACCTTTTTAAGATAGGTCATCATTTTTCTAGGGGTCTAGAGTAGATAGTTAGATAGATTTTGTTTATCACACCTTGCATTGAGGTGCTTGATGAACTTTGAAGTGGGTCCCCCAATTCACATCTTTTGGGACAAAGTTTTTTCGGTAACACCCATTTTTGAGTCATAAAAAGGGAATAATTTCTTTCTTCTTTCTGCTTTTCTTTCCCATGACGACTAGGAACGGGCAAATCAACAATTTCACTTCGAAGTTCGGACCTCAACCGATGCTTCTTCGGCCAAATACGATATACAAGTGGGACCTGCACTATGCGCAAGCTGTGCGAAAAACCGCTTCTTTTTTCCGGTTCTGAAACAACTTGGGCAAAATAGGGTTCTACCGGGAAACCATGGATTTTTTAGTTTTCGCCATTGGTTACAATTTCTAGTCCTCATCTATCTGGTATTTCATCCATTGTAGGTTCTATCAATTTTATAACAACTATCTCTAACATGCGTGGACCTGGAATGACTATGCATAGATCACCCCTATTTGTGTGGTCCGTTCTAGTGATAGCATTCCCACTTTTATTATCACTTCCGGATGGTCGGAGCCTTAGGAATAAGAACAATTTGCATGGCATTTACCTGTCTTACAACACTAGGATCAAGAAAGACGGATTTCACCATGGTTCCACTGGCTTTTATCTTGGTACATTGTCAATGATCATTAGGTGTTCATGTTAGCCTCCATCCTATATTACATGGTGAAATTCCTTAGACCTTCCAAGAAGAAAACACAAAAAATGAAGAAATTGGAAAAGTGAAGACAAAAAGAAACAAAGAAGAAAAATGAATAAAAAGAGCAACACAAAAAGAAGAACAAGAATCCAAGTTCAAGACTATATTTCTTCTAAAAAAAAGAAGAAGAAGAAGAAGATCGAGCTACAAAGAGGCTGAAGACCAAATAACAGAAGTTCAAGATTGAAGATTTAAGTTGTTAGGTTTAGCTTTAGGATGAGTAGAACTTTTATTATTTTATTTTATTTTTGATTTTTGGTGAGAAACGGCTATGACGATGAGATGGTAGATTGTAAAGGACAGTACAGGGAGAAGCCTCTGAAGCCGGATATTTTCCCAGAGACCGCGCTGCAAAAACCCTATTTCATATTATACACTTTAGCCTGACAAATTTAGAAATCATCGTGTGTGAAGAGGCGCCTTTCCTTCATGCACTATGGTCTATATTGGTGATTTAAAGTGCCCCCACTGGGCGCATCCTCGGTTTCCTTTGTCTTGCACACCGTGACTACATCCAGTCGTGATCTATTCGCCCTTCAAGTGGTTCGAGAATGTGGTTTATGGCTCTAAAGCGGGGAACATTTTGAAGATGTGTAGGGTCCATGAAAGACTGATTCGGACCATGTTGACTGATGTTGACCAAGTTCTATGGTATCTTTCTTTTTCCCTTTTAGTTTAGCTCATCCCGAGCTCATTTTAGTCTTGTTCTAACTTGAGGACAATTTAGGTTTAAGCTTGGGGTGATTTGATAGCTTATTTTATTTCCTTATTTTTATTAGTTTATTTTAGATTTTAGATCTTTTTATCAATATTGCATTGTATTTTATTTACTTTCTTTATCATGGATCGTACCGGTGACTTTTCATTTTGCATGAGGTATATTGTAGGGTTTTGGAGCTTGTTGCGGTTGTGGATTAGCTTGGAATGGGCTTGAGGCATTATTGGGCATTGCGGATCCATTAAAAGAGATTTGGGCTTAAAAAGCTAAAGACTTGGATGAATTGGGCTTGTGAAGATGGACCATGGATTGTTATTTTGGGCTTAGAGCATCCATATTTGAAGCTAGAAGATGATTGGTTAATTTGAATCATGTGGGATATGGAGGGGACCAAGGGAATCTTTGGTAGTGGAATGGTTAGTGGAGGAAAAATAAGCCAATAGCATTCCAGCAATATTTGCGAGGGTAGATTTTTGCGCGCGCGGGTACCCGCGCAACTGCACAGTTTTGGGCATTTTGGTCATTTGGCTTACCATTTACCTTGGGGGTTGGATATTTCAACTATCACTTCGATTTTCCACCATTAGAGACCAGAAGAGGCGATTTTGGGAGCTTGGATACACAATCTTCTTATCTTCCAAAGTAATTGTTAGTTTCTTGATGCAATTAGACTTTTGTGATTGTTATTCTATTGCCATGAGTGGCTAATTTCTCTATTTTGGTAGACCTTGGCTAAATCCTTTGAATGTTTGTGGGTTTTTGAAGGATTTATGCTTATTTATCATTTATCTTATGTCTATGATTCTAGTTCATATTTCCTATGCTTGTTTAATGCTTTGATCATGAGCTTAGTACTTGAATAAGCAATTGTTGGTTTATTTCTTTGGTTTAGAATTGAATCATTGAATTTACTTAGAACAAGGGCTTTATGATGGTAGAAATCATCTCTAGCTTATGAATCATAACTCCTTTTATGGATGTGTAAGCATTGACATCCTGTAGGAATTTGGGATTCCTTCATTCTTAAGGATAATCAACTTGTTGGATTCAATTGCTTCAATTGGATCCTTGATTTGGATTAAGAATGTGTGTTGTGGGCTTCCCCAACCTACATACAACTTATGAGGTATCTTGGCATATCATGCTTCATGATTGCTATAACCAATTTGGGATGAATTATAAGCTTCATATTAAATTCTAATGATAAACACACAAATGTTCATTGAGTTGAATTGCCTTGGTTTACCAATTCTCTCCAATATTTGAGCATCTCATCACCTTGCTTAATTGCAAGTTTTCTAGTTATTCAAGTCTTTTAGTTTTGAAGAAATCATAACAGCCCCCTTTTAGTTTAATTGTAGTTAGTTAGTTTATTTACACTAGTTCTTTTAGATTGCATTGGTGATTGAATGCAACCATTTCCCCGAGGATTGATACCCCTTTTTACCGTTATATTAGCTTTTATTTCCAATCAAATGGTGTAATTTGCTTGGTGGACTTGACATCCCATCATTATGTCGAATGGTTACATGGTTGGCCTATTAAATGTTGTTGAGATTGTTAGAATCTAACGGGAGTTGGTGACATATTGTTTGGGTTGTCACAGTACATAGGAGAATGAAAACTATGTAGAGTCTGCATAAGAGTTATTCAGCTCGGTGTCGGTCCAATCTTGAGTTTCAGGTAGGAGATTTTGTGCTTCTAAAGGTGTCACCTTATAAGGGTTTATCCGATTTCATAATGTCACACCCCGAACCAGATGGCAGAAAGTCCAGGGGCTGGGGTGACTTTATTCTTGTAGTATCATCACAGTGTATATAATTGAAACAAAACATCATCATCATCACACATGCAATATTACAGCTGTCATTGTTTACATCAAGTATTGTATTTCAATATTACATGCCAAAATATCCAAAGTATGATGCTAACAAAACACAACAAAATATCCAGGTATTCTTGCTGACCAACCTGCTCAACGATTTCCTGAGAATACAAGTTAATTTGAAAAGGTCAACATATATAATGTTGGCGAGTTCATAAGCTTGTTTGAGTAAAATTGTTTTGTACGACTTTGTAAACACCAGGAAATCTGATATTTTCTGAAAAACGGTTTGAAATGTTTGTGTCCGATCTTGTATTAATGCATGTTTTTTTAATGTTTATGAGTGAATGAAGTAAATGATCCCATGCAACCCGATGTTGTCTGTTTATAAAACGTTGTGATCTCAACACCCTAAGACTGAGTACTAGTGTGTGTATGTTACCGCGTTATCAACAGATGTTGTATTCCGCAAATTTTATAATGGAGTTAATTCCTCTATGTGAGTCGTTATAACCATACTTGATAATGACCAACACGCCTGTCATGACGTTTTTCGGACGCCGACGTGTTTAAGGCAAGGTTTCTCACCCTAGACTGGCCTAGTCTAACTATAGCGAACACCTCAGGTGTGGGGTGTCACCCCCGTATAGATCTATACACAAACTCCTGCTCTCCCTCCAAGAGACTTTGGTTATAACTACAAGCTACGGTTGTACACTCGATAGGTGTCAAACGAAATATCTCACAAGATCCTTAACTAAATTTACGCGAATATGAAATTGCACAGTGTATATTGTTTTCGGGTATGTATTTAGTTTTCAAAGCCCAACGAGTATGTATGTGAATGTGTGAAGTCAACAAGCATGCAGATGGACCGCGAAGGCCCAATAAACATGTAAGGTATATTTTAGGCCCAATAAACATGTAAAAGGACAACTAAGGCTCACTAAACATGTAAATTATATTCCAGACCTAATAAGCATGTAAATTGACAACTAAGGCCCAATAAACATCTAAGGTATAATCCAGGCCCAATAAACCTGTAAAAGGACAACTAAGGCCCACTAAACCTGTAAA